CATCATTATTAATCAAAATATCCCATCTTAATTTTTAATAAAGCCGATAGACCCATTACTTATATTCCATTAGACACCTAACAACTTTGTATCAACTTAATTAATTTCTCTCAACATGTATATGGGGATATTTACCTATACAATTTGATTTTGGTACTTTCATCAATAAATGATCTTTTTAGGAGATAAAATTATATACATGATATATGAAGTCACTAATAAATTAGAGAAAATTCTTTAAATGATATCAATTTTTATGTCATAATGTGTACCCACTCTAGCGTTAATTTTTATAGACAACATTTTGAAAATATAAACGTGCTCAGTTGAAGATCATACTGATCGTACCAAATATGTGGGTTGCACCAAGGAATTTTAGCGGTGAAACAACCATGAGGTAGTCAATTCCATATGGGAATTAAAGACCATGTTCATTAGGTGCACGCGCATGTGCGCGGGCTACCTTCCTAGTTCTAAATAAAGTTGAATGAGGAAAACAAGAACTAAAAACTACAAATTAAGTTGTAGAATTCGTTAGGCTCCAAAACTTTGATATAGAGTTTATTATCTCCCACCTAAGCCTTTTGAAAATTTTAAAAATTCTGCATTTAAAGGTCTAACACATATTTGGGGACTGTAAATAGTTTCAAATAAAAAATATTATCAACCAATATCCCATTAAGATCTATAGTTTTGATATAGAGCTAGTTTTTGGTCATTTGAAAAATTTAAAATATTCAAATATCAGAGAACTTATGTCACATATACGATATAAAATCAAACGGTTGTCAACTAAGATATCATCCCTTAGCGTACTGTGTATTCGCTCCGTATTTGTATTCGGTAATATTCGATTCTATTTTTTTATCCAGGATTTTTTATTCTGAGACCTGTTAAAAAAATGCATCCAGGCCGCCTCACCCTATTTCCCAGTCAGTCTTCCCCTGTTGCCTGCACCTCCAATGGGATATCCACTTTATTTCACTATAACTAGAATGCCACGTAAGAGTCGCATAGGCAAAACCATCTTACGTATGCTAAGTGTTGACGTGAAAAACACACACAGGCATGGGATATCTGCTTAGCTCCAGTGCAGATCCAAAGGTTGGTGAGGTGCGGGCGTGCCAGTCAGTTTGATTCTGTAACTGACAAGATATGCAAATAGTAGTTCAATAAGCCGATTGGCTGACAAGCCGATGGAGTAGTTTCAGCCGATGCCGATACTAGCCGATATCGATAGGGTTTTGAGCAATCGGCTATATATCCAATGTAGATTCCAAATTTGGTCGTTAACACTAAGGGATGTGTTGGCAGTTGTTAAGTACAAACTTTAACCGTTAACTCCTGAAAAAAGAAATAAAATATAATATTAAAACTTAGTGGTAGAGGTTTATTACTAACCATTCTCACTAGCTTCGGTAAATATACGTACATAGATAATTTAAGAAGAAAATACACCCGTCATGTGACAAAAATGAACCTCCAGCCAAATACACCTAAGCACAAGGATTGGAGGGCCACCCGATAGTAAAAACTGACTTAAAGTGGGGCTAAACCATCCTCAACCACCATATGGACTTACCTATAAGCCACTGGAGAAAGACGGTGGAGAGAGGTGGGGCCCACGGTTTGACCGAACTAGGGGTTCAACCGAACCGCCACTGGCCCCCCTCGTCTGCACCTTACACGTGTAGGCTCCCGAAGCTCTCCCAATGATAGTTGTGGAGGAGTGAGCCCCATTCTTCTCAACCGTCATAGCACACTATAAAACGAGGTCTTCACTCGCAAAATGCACAACGAAGTAGAGTGCAACTAACATTTAAAATTTAGACTTTACTTTAGTATATGGGATTGTGAAGAGAGCAGGGGAAATCTCCAGAAGGAGTGCTCTGAATATCATAGTTTTCTTTGAGAATTTTACAAAGGAGTGCGGGGCGTGTCGACGTTCTTCCAACGGAGTTTCGGAGAAACGTCAGGATTATCGGATTTCTTCTCGCTTATACCTCGATGGATGCTTTCTTTTATAAAGTAATTGTTCGAGATTCTTTTATGTTATTTAATTAGTTTAATTACTTAAGTGAGCTATATTCTCATCGGTGTGTGTTCGTCGCTTAGTTTATAATTAAGTACTCTAGTACTAGATCTGGATAAAGAAGAATGTTCCTGTGTAAGGTGAGTAATAATCAATAGCTTAGGCGTGGTGTAGGTTAGCGGCTACCTTCGTTTGTTGTGTGCTCTAACAAAAGTAAGGTAGGTGGTAGGTGTTGACAATCATGTTTGTCCTTTACATCTCTCCACATTCGGGTACATTATAGAACTCAAGGCCGGACTCAGCCTAACATATTACGGGAAAGCCGGTGCCCAAAGCATACGACAAAGTTTTACTCCTAATGTAAGCTAGCTAATTAGAATCATTAGAATCCTCTCTAGTAAAACTTATCATCAGTTGTTGTTATTAGATAGAATCCCGTTCGTAGATAGTACACACGTGTTTTTTTGTGTCTGATAACATTAGAATACTATGAGGGAAAGTGCTACAGCAGTATCCATGCGCTTGTGAATTTATCTGTGTGCATAACAAATACCAATAGAATGTACAAAATACTAATAGGATGTACAGTCAAAACTAGGATGGTTAATTTGGCGTGAAGTTCAGGATGTAAAATGTACTTTCTCCGCGTATATCTTATAAATAAAATGTGCGGCTAGGATGCCCTAAGATTATCTTAAGAACTATTCCCTCGAAACCAATGAAAAGAAAAAGGGACTACCTATACATTTGTCAACAAATTTTTGCCTAAAAATTTGACAGATGTAATTATAGTACAATCGTAGTGTAATTACACTGTAACTTATATGTAATTACACTGTAATTTGCATGTAACTACAGTGTAACTTATATGTAAGTTTCACATAATTTTGAATCGTTAGATCTATTACACGATTTGTTTTGGTGAGGAAGAAAACAAATCATAGCACACACATATGTGAAAGAATTTATTTCCATGACCTCCATTTTACCGAAATAACATGTTACGGAGAGATTTTTGAAAGTTACATACAAGTTACACTATAGTTACAGTGCAATTACATATAAGTTACAGTGTAATTACACTATGATTGTACTGTAATTACATCTGTCAAATTTTTGGGGCGACAAATATATAGCAAAATCGAAAGAAAAATCCAGGCGTTAGGCATAGACTGAAATCACGGTCCACAAGGATACCAGATACGGATGGGTACTCTACCACTCAAATTGTTCTTTGTATCCTTTTCAAGTCAAAGTCAAACACTGATATAATACAAAGACCCTGTTTAGCACAGCTTCAAATCCAGGATATCTTAAAATTTGATACTCCTAGCTTTCACAAATAATATTTAATTGCATCGTTTTGCTTTTATTTTAAATGAGATATAAAATTTCAAGCAATCAATAACAATTGATACCGATGACCGACTGAGACCGTAAGACACGGCTCGTACGTATGTCCCACAATATCCTATGAATCCCCTTAGATAGGGTAGACAAATATATGTACATTTCGATCTCCAAGCTGCCACCATTAATTTTTAAGAATTACATTAACAAGCCCAATTAAATTACGATATTTTACAAGTTTATTGTCAACACTAATATACATATTTTCATTAGGCTCCAAAACTTTGATATAGAGTTTATCTCCCACAAAAGTCGTTTCAAAATTTTTAAAAATTTTGCATGTAAACTTCTAACACATATGTGGGAATGTAAATGGTTCCAAATAAAAAATGTTATCAACCAAAATCCCATCAAGATATATAATTTTGATATAGAGCTAGTTTTAGGTCATTTGGAAAGTTCAAAATATTTAAATATCATAGAACTTCTGTAGCATATTCGGACAGCATACGATATAAAATGAAACCGTTGTCAACTAAGATATCATATATATCGTCAAGATCATTAACTTTGATATATAGCTTGTTTTTCATCCGATATACGCTAAGGGATGTACAGTAAGCTGAGCTCTGCAACTTTAATATAGGACCTACTTTGTATTTATGATGTTAGAGTTTGTGTCTAATATATGTATAAAGTCGATTACAGTTTAGGATTTAGAGTTGTACTAGGTACATGAATAGAGTAAGAGTCATATTCTATCTAAGGATCTCTCTTAAATAGAGGGGCGGAACTATTGTAACCGCGCATGGCGACTTAGCATAGCGAGGGAGAGCGGCTGCAGCAGCGTCCGACCAAGGATTGTTGTAACTCTGATACACTCTAATATGCTGGATCGGGGAGGAACGCCCATAATCAATACCCCGGGATGTAGGTTTCGGTTGAACGTCATTAACTAATATCATGCCTCAATATCGTCATCGTGTTTGGTTCTCGTATGGCATTTCTTTCGCTTTTGGTTTCCGTTATGATTTCGATGCCTGTTTTATAACATATGACCTTTTTATTTCAAATTATTTGAAGTGCAAAATAAACATTAGAATTTTTCGTAGAGGTGAAATAAAATGAATAACATCTCCAATTTAGAAAACAAGAGCTTCATAGGTGATATGTTAAGTAAGAAAAGGGTTATGGGTGGTCTCTTATGGGACTATGAAAATTGATTTTCACAAACGGTTGTCTAATCACCTAAAAATTTCCAAAATGTTGACCTATTATTTTAGAAAAATAACAAGTGATATCTCTTGATTGATTTAGGAAGCCCAATTTAAGGGGTTTTTATTTTTGGGAAATATTCCTTGCGTACTCGCTCCGTATCTGTATTCGGAATATTCGATTTCATTTTTATCTAGTTTTTTTATTCCGATACCTATTAAAAAAATACTTCCTGGCCGCCTCAACCTATTTCCCAGTCAGTCAGTCTTCCTCTGTTGCCTGCACCTTCAATGGGACATTAATTCATTTGATTGCACTAACTATAGGCAAAACCATCTTACGTATGCTAAGGGATGTACAGTAAAAACTAGGATGGCCAGTTTGGCCTGAAGTTCAAGATGTAAAATGTACTTTCTCCCGTATCTTATAAACATAATGCGCGGCTAGGATGCCCTATGATTGTCTTAAGAATAATTCCCGCAAAACCAAGGAAAAGAGAAATCCAGGCATTTCCGCGTAACATCCTTTCAGAAAGGAATAGTCTGCAGTCACGGCCCACATGGATACCAGATACGGGTAGGCACTCTACCACTCAAATTGTTCTTTGTACCCTTTTCAAGTCAAGTCAAACACTGATATAATATAAAACCCTGTTTAACCCAGCTTCGAATCCAAAATTTTAAAAAATTGATATTCCTAGCTCCACAAATAATGTTTGCATGCATCATTTTACTTCTACTTTAAATAAAATATAAAATTTCAAGTAACAATAATTTAACCGAGCCCAATCAACAACTATTGATACCGACGACCGACTGAGACCGTAAGACACAACTCGTGCCATATATATCTCCCACAGTATCCTATGCATCCCCTAAAGTTAAGATAGGGTAGACAAATAGATGGACATTTCGATCTCCAAGCTGCCACCACTAATTTTTAAGAATTACATTAACAAAACAAGAGCCCAATAAAAATACGATATTTTACAAGTTCATTGTCAACACAAATATAGACATATTTTCGTATTTGTTTCAAGTCTTTCAAAAAAGAAAAAGGTCCAATTTACTCTCCGAACTATTTCATTATATCACTTAACCCCTAAACTATTTTTTTCTCTTATTACCCTCTAGAGTATTTAAAATGGTTGTAATGTTACTTACATTTCTCTTTGTTGTTTCTCTTTATGCGAGTCATATTTTAAGTTTAAATTTTGTAGACCCATAGATGATACTATTATCAAAGTTCTAAAACATTTTCAAAAAATTTCATGGCTATTTGCTTGAGATTTTAAACCTCTCTGTTTAAATTTGTCTAACAACTGCTTCCAACCTATGTAAAGAGTTATTAAAAAATACCAAAAAAAATGTTGAGAGATAAGTTATAATGCATATATCAGTCCCACCAAATTTCATTGCAAAATGTAACCTATATATAGAGAGAAACGTAAAAGACAAGCACCGTTAAGGATTAAGGTAAATCATTTTCAATAATTCGGGATGTAAAATGAGCCGAGAAACTGTTCAGGGGTTAAGTGCTCCGGCAAAAAAGTTTGAAGGGCGTAAAATGGACTTTTTTTTTCTTAAAATAATGATGAGGTTTCAAAAGTTAGACTAAAGCGGATGTATTCGAAACAACTATATTTTAAACTAGACATAGTAAATAAAAACATGAGAGATACCTGTGTTTTGTATGCACGTAATCGAAAACAAACCCAGCAAATCTCCAGCCATGAGAGCTGCTTACCGTCTCACGGCTATGCTAGCCATGCTACCAATCCTCCTCGTTGATATCCAGCCCATGGCGGCGCCGGTTCCGTGCCTTCCAGGCCAGGCCTCGGCGCTGCTCCAGCTGAAGCGATCCTTTGACGCCACGGTCGGTGACTACTCCGCCGCGTTCCGGTCATGGGCGGCGGCCGGCACAGACTGTTGCAGCTGGGAGGGCGTCCGCTGCGGCGGCGGCGGCGACGGCCGTGTCACCTCCCTCGACTTGCGCGGCCGGGAGCTGCAAGCCGAGAGCCTTGACGCCGCGCTGTTCGGCCTCACCTCGCTGGAGTACCTTGACATCTCCAGGAACAATTTCAGCATGTCCCAGCTCCCATCCACCGGGTTCGAGAAGCTCACCGAGCTCACCCACCTTGACCTCTCCGACACCAACTTCGCCGGCCGGGTACCCGCCGGCATCGGCCGCCTCACCAGACTCTCCTACCTTGACCTGTCGACGGCATTCGGTGAAGACGAGATGGACGACGACGAAGAGAACAGTGTCATGTACTATTCCTCGGACGAAATTTCACAACTCTGGGTGCCAAGCTTGGAGACCTTGCTCACCAATCTCACCCGGCTAGAAGTGCTTCGGCTGGGCATGGTGAACTTGTCCAGCAATGGCGAACGGTGGTGCGACGCCATGGCCAGGTTCTCTCCAAATCTTCAGGTCATTAGCATGCCATACTGCTCACTGTCCGGTCCCATTTGCCGGTCACTCTCGTCCTTGCGATCACTTTCAGTGATAGAACTCCACTTCAATCAGTTGTCTGGTCCAGTTCCTGAGTTCTTGGCTGCACTCTCTAACCTTACTGTTCTTCAGCTTTCAAATAACATGTTTGAAGGGGTGTTCCCTCCAATCATCTTGCAGCATGAGAAACTAACGACTATTAACCTCACCAAAAATCTTGGGATCTCCGGAAATTTCCCTAATTTCTCTGCTGACAGTAACTTACAGAGTTTATCTGTCAGCAAAACCAACTTCTCAGGCACAATTCCAAGTTCTATCAGCAACCTCAAATCTCTGAAGGAGCTGGATCTTGGAGTTAGTGGTCTCTCTGGAGTGCTGCCATCCTCCATTGGTAAGCTGAAATCCTTATCTTTACTAGAGGTTTCTGGGTTAGAGCTAGTAGGATCCATGCCGTCATGGATCTCAAACCTGACTTCTCTTACTATTCTCAAGTTCTTCAGTTGTGGCTTGTCCGGACCCATACCAGCTTCCATAGGGAACTTAACAAAACTGACAAAATTGGCACTGTACAATTGCCACTTTTCAGGGGAGATACCTCCACAGATCTTAAATTTGACTCATTTGCAATCCCTCCTGCTCCATTCAAACAATTTTGTCGGCACAGTGGAACTAGCCTCATACTCGAAAATGCAAAATCTTTCTGTGCTGAATCTCTCAAATAATAAACTAGTTGTGATGGATGGTGAAAATAGTTCTTCAGTAGTGCCCTACCCCAGTATTAGCTTTTTACGACTAGCATCATGCAGTATATCTAGCTTCCCTAACATCTTGCGGCATCTCCATGAGATTGCTTTTCTTGATCTTTCATATAACCAAATCCAAGGAGCAATACCTCAGTGGGCATGGAAGACCTCGACCCAAGGCTTTGCCTTGTTCAACCTATCACATAATAAGTTTACGAGTATTGGATCTCACCCTTTACTTCCTGTTTACATTGAATTCTTCGATCTCAGTTTCAACAATATTGAAGGGGCAATACCTATACCAAAAGAAGGAAGTGTCACCCTTGATTACTCCAACAACCGGTTCTCATCTCTGCCTCTCAATTTCTCTACTTACCTAACAAAAACTGTCTTTTTCAAGGCCTCCAATAATAGCATATCTGGAAACATTCCACCATCGATCTGTGACGGGATTAAGAGTTTACAACTCATTGATCTCTCTAACAACAATTTGACTGGCTTAATACCATCGTGTCTGATGGAGGATGCAGATGCACTGCAGGTGCTAAGTCTAAAGGATAATCATCTTACCGGCGAGTTACCTGGTAATATCAAGGAAGGTTGTGCATTAAGTGCATTAGTTTTCAGCGGCAATTCGATTCAAGGACAGCTACCAAGATCTTTGGTTGCTTGCAGGAATCTGGAGATCCTTGACATTGGCAACAATAAAATTAGTGACTCTTTCCCATGTTGGATGAGTAAACTTCCTCAACTTCAAGTCCTGGTCCTCAAGGCTAACAGGTTCATTGGGCAGATATTGGATCCTTCTTATAGTGGTGATACTAACAACTGTCAATTTACAAAGTTGAGGATTGCAGATATAGCATCAAACAACTTCAGTGGCATGTTGCCAGCAGAGTGGTTTAAGATGCTGAAGTCCATGATGAACAGTTCTGATAACGGAACTTCTGTCATGGAAAATCAGTATTACCATGGACAGACATACCAGTTTACTGCTGCAGTCACATACAAAGGCAATGACATGACAATTTCCAAGATCTTAACATCACTTGTGCTCATTGATGTCTCAAATAATGAATTCCACGGTAGCATCCCTTCAAACATTGGGGAACTTACATTGCTTCACGGACTCAACATGTCTCATAACATGCTTACAGGGCCAATTCCAACTCAGTTTGGCAACTTGAACAACCTTGAGTCGTTGGACCTCTCCTCAAATAAGCTTTCTGGTGAGATCCCACAGGAGCTACCATCATTGAACTTCCTAGCAACGTTGAATTTGTCCTATAATATGTTGGCTGGAAGAATACCACAATCGTCACACTTCTTGACATTTTCCAATGCCTCTTTTGAGGGAAATATTGGGCTCTGCGGACCTCCATTGTCTAAACAATGTAGTTATCCAACTGAACCAAACATCATGACACATGCTTCCGAGAAGGAACCCATAGATGTTCTACTTTTTCTCTTCGCTGGGTTGGGATTTGGTGTCTGCTTTGGAATTACAATTTTAGTCATATGGGGAAGCAACAACAGCAAGCAGCAAACTTGAGAGGGAACCATGTTATAGAATGGCAGAATATTTTGTTAGTGACTCTTTGAGTCTTGATCACTCCAGTAACACTCAGAAGGACAAATATTAATGAGATAATCCATAAAATGCCATTGACAAGCATCTAGGTCCCAGAAATGCCATTGACAAGTGTGAGTTCCAAGAAATGCCATCGTACAAGCGATTTTGTCCCAAAAATGCCATCGCCGTTAGGGTTCCATCCATTCCGCGCCGTTAAATACACTGTTCATCCTATAGAACTTAACGGTGGACAGAACCCTAACGGCGATGGCATTTTTGGGACAAAATCATTTGTACGATGGCATTTCTTGGAACTCACACTTGTCGATGGCATTTCTGAGACTTGGACGCTTGTCAATGACATTTTATGGATTATCTCAATATTAATAGTGATGCATGTATGAATGAAATAAAGGACTACGATATCAGGGAATATAGTATGAGGGCTGTGGGCATTGTAATTTAGGCAACAAAGCAGACAACACCATATGCATGAAAAGATATATTTATGTTTGAGAGCTATCTGGTCTTGTTGTCTTACTGTTACATGTGCTGAAAATTTCTGCCACGTATTTTTATAAGGAATATAGTTTTCCCCAACTTGTATCAAAATAAGGCATGCAAGTGAAGTTATTAATTCGTTTCCTTGTTTGCATAGTTTCTTAACTAGCCGCTCTCCTGCATTTATCAGAAACATCACCATGACCATCCATTTTCCCGTTTCGAAGGTATTAAGTATGGGTGACATGGTCATTTTAAGTTTTTAACTCTTTTTTCTTAGTTTCATGTTCTCCTTATTCGTTGTGACCTCCCAAAACTAATATGCCCCACATTTTTTTAATGAAGAGAGTACTACAACGAATAAAACATTTAATAGGCCAAGTAAAAAGATTTGATAAACCTTAAATTATATCCATTTGAGTTTCAAAACTAAGCATGTAAATATGTAATGTTTGTTCAAAAAACTATGCGATACTGGCATGGAAGTTAAGTGACATGTGCCCTTTATATTCTCACATGTATAGTTGATTATTGTTGAGAAATTTGATTTAGTGACATCCAAAGATGGTAACTTGAAATATACCAGCCAACATCTCAACTATAGTTTAGCATAATTCAAAGAATTCAACGTCTAGTATCAACTATTTCTGTCAAGTAGAGGGCCAGATGCTATCTTACACCAGTCTACACCTCTGTGGACTGACTATACTGCATCTCGCTCCCAGGCAATTTCCCCCCGCACACATGCAGTGAATGCTAGCTTCCACCACTGCAGGCTATTCCCACTGTCTGTCCTGATTCACAATGATTTATGTGGCTAGCTAGCGCCCCATGCCTCCCTGATCCCCTGAAACTGTCATGCAGCATGTCCCACACCTGATTTATCTGTTGCAGAAGAATCGATCTGTAACAGAACATGCTGCAGTGTTCTCTGCTTTGTAAGCTCGAAGCAGAGAACATCAACAAGCTGTAAGTGCCGAGGTCCCTTATTTTGCTTTGCTGTTGCAATTTTAGATTTACATGTATATAAGTGATGCCTAAAATGTTACTTTTCTGCTAGCTTCTGGGTGTTGTAAGATGAAAAGTTGAAAAAAGAAAGGGGAAAAGATTTACAGTTCTGGAGAGGGATGTCGTAGCAGCAGAACAACTTGGATAAAAACATGAACAAGCATCTTGGCAAACTTTCATGGCATCCTCTGTGCACGTCATCTGGTGGTGTGTGGAAGAGGTGACAGACATGCGCATTGCGTCTTGGGAGGATGTGCACCACAACAAGGGCAAATCCAATTTTACCCATCAACCGCTTTTTCCAGTAAAGTGAAAAAGAAAAACCATGAAAACTAGCAGCAGGAGGAGATTGGAATTGTAAATTTCTGAATGTTAGAATTTTAGATGGTATTTTTTTTGTAAACATGGGATATTTGTATATCAGTAAACAAAATTTTCCTTTATTATTCTAAAAGATCAAATACTACAGTGATATTCTACCGGGATTTGTAAAAAATACCAGCCAAGACCTCTATAAGCTCATTTTCTACAGTGAAGCTTATGAACGTCTACAAAATTATGTTGTACCCCATCCAAACAATCCATATGCGGTGTGGTGTCAATATCTGATGTCATTTTGGTGGAAGATCTAGGCTCAGATATTGTGCATGTGCTCAAATGTTTGGTGCAGAAGGCTCGATCCATTTCCTTGCCATACAGGCTACTGTCTCAGTTCATAGTATACCAAACCCATCAGATCACACCGCGACGCACGACGCAATCATCATATTGATCTTCTGAGGTAACGAACCAACTATACATTCATCTACAGTGTTACAAATGTATGACAATTCCAGCCTTTCGGCTTAGCCATTTCGTCGAACAGTTGGTGGGCGAGATGAATCAGCATCACAAACTAGCCCTACGCTCGCTTAACTGGTCACAGGTTCTGGATTTTGGATGAAGTAGAGTTGAGTACTTACTGGAAGCTAACTGATTCGCATACGAAGAAGATGAAAAAGAAAAAAAAAATCTCACGGCAGCAAGCAAAGGATGGAAGGAACAGGACAATGAATTGATTATTACCTGGATGAACACAAGGTGGCCGGGTTAGTGATGGCGCACGGGAGGCGATTCGTCGACGAGGAGAAGAGGAAATAGGCGAGCCTCCGGCCACCGCGGCGGGGCGGCGGCGGCCGCATCTCGCCACAGCCTATTTTTAGATCCGACGGCTCACGTTTGCATTAGATGGGTTACTAGCGATGAGAATGGTATTTTTGGGATTACGAGTGGAGTAAATTATATCGTTAGTCCCTAAATTTTGTAAGTCCGTGTCATCCAGATTCTCGAACTCTGAATTTATCAAAATTTATCATTTCAATTTCAAATTTTCGAAACCTCTCCGAAATCCTACGTGACGCTCATGTGCTATACTACATGAACATTGAATTACTTCTTCTTTTTTTTTCTCTCCTCCTCCTTATCTTCTTTCTTTCCGTTCGTGTGGAAAAAAAAAGAGAAGGGAAACGTTTAAGGGAAGGACAAAAGAAAAATAAATTTTTAGGACCGCAATATCTATGTAGCATGCCTTATAAGTACAACGTATGATTCTAAAGGGATCGTGGCAACTTAGAACCGGAATGACACATCATTTTAACAAGTTTGAGGATTAGATCAACCGGAAATGCACTTTACTCTTAAAATTATGTTTGCTACTTCCGCTGTATTCCAAAATATAATATAAAGGCTTGTAGCATTTAAATCTTATACTAAAATACAAATATTTTTAATACTGTTCATAATATTATTTATCACATCCATCATCTCCCATTTAAAATTTTTTACATCTTACCCGCATCTACCTTTTACTCCATCCATCATTTATTTATTGAAGGATACTAGACTCTTTTCTATTCGCAATCCTATTCCCTATTTTTAAAAATAAACCAAGAAAGAGTGAAGGGAATTTTGAGCCGGGCATTTCTAGCTTGCGGCCAAACCTCGTTGTCTTACATCGTTAATACGTATCTATTTCAAAATATAATAACTTGTAGCCTTTAGAATTTATCTAAAAAATAACAATTTTTTCATCCATATTTTTTCCAACTAATCACAACCCTTCACCATTCAACTCTCTTATCTTTTTCTTAACTAGGGCTGGGAAGCCCCCATTTCCATTATCAGAAATGAAGAAGTTACATTCAATTTTCTTATCTACCTTCACTTCTCATCTAATCATAACCTTCTTCCATTTAATTGTAGCTACTTCCTTAATAAACATATCTTACTCAAAAAATTCTTATATTCTATAACATAGATAATATATGCCTTAATTATTAGATCATATTTTAATTTAATGTATAAAGAAGAAATTGACAGATTTAATATAAATATTTTCATATAGTTATATTTTATATTTTTGATAGTTGAATAAAATATGTTACAGAATGTTGGTGGGGAAAGTTGAAACCAAGCGGCGGAAACCAGTGTGAGATGCAAATGTACGATGCTTTGGATAATATCACGATGTCTAAAATATATTTTTAACTATGTTTTTATATTATAATATATATAATATAATAAATAGAAAAATGATTCTATACACCTAGGTGTATGTACTCCCGGTAGAATCCACCGTCCATCCCAATCAGCAGCGATCGAATACTCCATCCGCGCCTATTGGGTATGGCTGTATAGGATCCGCTAAATATTCTAAATAAAAATTATTGTTCAATTAGCGATGGATAATTAACTAACCACCACCGCTTATTTCGCACCAGATCGAGTATTCGCGTAATTAGTATCATGCTGCAGCGGCGACGGCACCACGGCGGGTCGACGACACGCTCTGACGACGCTAGGTGTATATCTGTGAGGTGACGGATTCATCCCTGGCAGACCGGCGACGACGTGCTCTGTCCGATTCCCCTGACGGAATCACAGAAGGGATGAGCCTGCGGCAACAGCGTCAAACCCGTACGTCGATCTATCGTCCTATCGGCTGCCTGCGCACACCTGTGGGCTGCGGCGGTATCGACCCCATCGGCAAGCCAGTGCAACAGTTAAGCCCTTGATTCCCAGGTAATGTCTTCTGCATCCTGCTTCTCTCCCACGCAGAGCAATGAGGAAAGGAAACTACCTTGTTCAGAAATTGTGACGGTAGGCCGGCCAGGCTGCGGCGATCGACTCCCAGACGGCCAGCGACGACGGTGATCCTTCGGCACGGCCGTTGCGATGGGTGATGGCATCGATCCAAGCCCGTCCGCACGAGGCGATACAGACGACGTCGTATGCCGGCCCGCCACCACGGCGCCCTCTTCGTCCACCCACAGCCAGCATGCAGCTCGCTGCCAGCGCGGCGTGGCCGGCTTGATCCATCAGCGGCAACGGTGCAAAATCATTCATCCAGGCATGGGCGGGCATTTTCTGCACCTCACATATACCGCAGTCCGCAGGTGATTGATGCTTGCACATATATGTACATCTTATTTTCCTTACCTTTTATTGCCGATCGAGATCCGAGGATATCTTTTTTTTTTATGGTTTGGATGCATCTTCTTCCACGGTAATCCAAATTATTCTTATTTACTTGATCTAATTAACCTCCTAATTTCTTTGGGCATGCAGATGATGACCGGCCGGCCACCGGCAGATCATGTCGACTCCAACGTTTCAATAGCTTAATTTGCTCTCAATCCAGCGGCCAGCCACACTGCTATGCGCTGAATGCATTGCTTGTTTTAATCTGGGGCAAACATGTACAAATATACCCTAGTCAAAATTCAGTGTGCTGCTAGAGCATCAAATGTATTTTTCCAGTAATTTTGTTTGTGAATTTGGCATTGTAGATATATATACTTCTCTTTCATGGTGCCACTAGTAAGTCCTAATGTATTCTGATTTTTCTTGAGATGTAGTGTGCTCTGAGATTCATAATGTAAGCAACCCCATACCTACTAGTAACAAAACAAAAACAGTATATACCACTACTATATTAAAAAACAGTATATACCATTACTATATTAAAAAACAGT